TGTGGTTGTGCACCTAGCAAACTAGTATGCCACTTTGACCACTCCTGGTTTTGGCTCTGATCCTTCCTGTAATGTTTCAGAAGTAATATTGGAAAATTCACCCGAAGTATCTTTTAAAAAGTATATAGTAATGCTAAACTAATGTATATAATAAAACAGGCCCCACCCCCCCCCCCCCACTTCCTTTGATAGAGCAAATAAGTGTGATTATAGAGCAGTTGCTTCAGCTAACAGTATTTATAAAATATAAACAGTGCCATATTAACTACTGTTGTTGATTTTACATAAAATGTCGGCATTCCTAAGCCTGTCTCCGTGCTCCATGGCTTCTCTAAGCTACTGGAATGAATTTTCGCTTGGACTTCTGAGATTTAAGCTTTTGTTGGAAAAATGAAAGCTTTCCTGAAAGGGCCCTCTAACTCAGTGTTTCCCAACCCAGTCCTCGAAGGAGCCCTAGACGGTCCCTGTTTTTGCTCCTTCCCAGGGAGCAAAAATGTGGACTGTCTGGTTGGAAGCTGGGAGGGAGCAAAAACGTGGCCTGTCTTGGGGCCCCTCAGGACTGGGTTGAGAGAGACTGCTCTAACTAATTGAGCCTTTGGGCTCCTGCTGTTGTCCTCAGCAGTTGTCAGGTCTTTTCCTTCAGACTTTTCTTTTTTTTTTTTTTTTTTTTTTTTTTTTTTTTTTTTTTTTTTTTTTTTTCTTTCTCTTATCTGCTTCTTCTCTTCCTCTCCACATAGAGCCCCGTCTCGCTCCGTTTTGGTTTCCTTTGTATGCAGTCTCGCTGTTGTTCTGTGGTCTCCTCCTTTCGTGTTTGACTCTCCGTTCCTCCCTTGCCCCACAGCCTCTCCCGTGTCGCCGAGGCCGTAGCATGTCTGTTTGCGTCCCCTACCTTTGCCCCGTCGCCGCCTCTCCTTTGTCCTGCCCTCCTAAGCCGCCATCCACTCCTCCACCTGCCCCCTCTGTGCCCCGCTCGTCCCACCCGGCCACCCCTGACGACGGAGAGACTTTTGCGAGAAGGCTGTCCAAAGCGCTGGAGTGCGTGCTGCCACTGCACTCCGCACCCCCACGTCGCAGGGCCAGCCTCCCGGCTATATTTGCCAACCCCGTATGTCGGTTGTCTCCCAGCCACCAGGTGGCGCAACACGGGGTGCTCTGACAGTGCATGGTCAAGGGGTAGGAGTAGGTCTGGCAGCACATCCGTATACTGGAGCCCCAGGAGAAGAGGTGGTCAGTCGGATTTGACCCTCCAGACCCTCTGGCTGTATGTCTGTAGAAGGCACACATGAGCCGAGAGATCTGAATGATGGACTCTGCTCTTAAGAAGGCAGCATAGCTGAAACAGCTCAGCCACTTTTCCTCCAGGAGGATTAAACCATTGTGGTGCAGTAGTGTTGCATAAAGGAAACGCAGTAACAAGCCTCACTTTAAGCCCTGTCTGTCCCGTGCTGATCTGGGATCAGTCTGAGAACAGGATACAAAGACTGTCCTGCTGAGGTGGTGACAGGCCGGTGGCTGCCTTTTAGAAAGCCCTGTTTTTTGGGGACCTTCCCCTTGGCTCGTCCCTTTGGAGTCCCCGTGTTGGCTTTAAATACAGCCTGTCTGGTGCCCTGAAGCCCTCATGATGGGGGGGGGGGGGCGCTGCTGCACATTCCGGGCAGGGCTGTCTGTACTGTACTGACGCATCGGAACCAGTGCTATGATAAGATTGTGCACTTGGTGAACAGTTCAGCCTACCAGTGTAACTTAAAGGGCTCCCCCCAGTAAAGTGTGAACGCTGGGGTCCAATAGCAGTCACATTCTTATAGAGAATTTAATGCTGATATGACGACGAACAAGGCTTCAGTCTGAGGTGTCCATACAGAGTCCTGTCTGAAAATGCAGCAGCGGGCCGCAGAGGCCCAACCCAGAGCTGTATTTAATTACATCATAAAGACTCTCATTGTCCTGTCCCCCTCTCTGTCTCTCCTCCTTTATTGGCGAAATGATTTAACTCCCCCCCCCCCAACATATAGAGAAGTCTCATTTTAAAGCATTACTGTTACCCCGCCCCCCTCCTGTTTATTGTGTAAGCTTGTGCACTCAGTGCTGTACAATGATGCTCCTGTCTCTCTCTCTTTCTCTCTCTCTCTGACACTGGATGTACGATGCTGCCTCTTTCCTTACAAAGATAATCTATCTTATGTCAATGCAGCCGCAGTCTGTGACTCATCCATACAGTGCAGGAGTCCCACCTCAACCGGAGACCCCCTTATTTTTCCCCGCCATCCCGGAGCGGCCCGTCTCCTCCTCGCCGCCGCCGTCCGCCCCCCCCAAAACGATCAGTGTTCTGCGTCGCAAGAGCACCTCTGTGCTGGAGGCCCACACGCACCACTTTCAGGGCTCTTACCGCGCCTACGGTAGCAGCGGACCCACCGTGGTTGGGCCGGAGTCGCAGGGAGGCGGGCCGGACGTCCCCGGGCTGCTGGTGCCAGGTGTGGCGGCCCAGCCTGTCCTGGAGCCCCTGCACCATCAGGGCCAGCTGGAGCCGCACTATGGGTACCAGGATGCGCGAGTGGACCCCTACGAGGCTGCGGCGTACGCCGGCTACCCCGTCACCGTGCAGCAGCTGAGCCAGATGCAGGCAGCGGCCGTGTTCGAAGGCTCCCAGCCGTCCGTACCTTTCTTGCACCCTCACGGGTCGGGTCACATGCGCGCAAACCCTGGCTCTGTCCTGCCTTTGGCACCGATGAGCACCTCCGGACCCATCCTGGAGAGCGGCCCCTCGGACGCAGCCTACCCACAGCAGCCCATTCCTCACTCTGCGCCCCCCGTCCTCACTCACTCCGGGGAGCCCGTGCCCAGCAGCGTCTTCGAGTTTCACGTGCACGGCCTGTCTGGCGAGCCGAGCCCCCTGGCCTCCAGACTGTACCGGGCTCGCCGCGGCTCCATGGACCTGAGCTTGGAGGAGGCGCCCTGCACACCGGGGCCATGCGGCCGCCTGCAGCCCGTCACGGAGGAGATGTACAGCTACATGAGCCCCGAGCTGCCCCTGCCTCCGGGGAACCTGCTGCTACACGGTGTGAAGGACCGCAGCCCCGAACCGTCCAGCGACTCGGTGGTTTCCTCAGACACGGGCGAGTTCCACTCCCCGCCACCGAACGCCGGCCGCCCCACCATCGAAGCCTCTCCGGCTCGCTCGATTCCACACGCCCATCACTATGGCGCGGACACTGGGGGCACAGCTACGGGTGCCCACCCTCCCAGCCAATCTGCCTTTCTGTTCGTGCCGCCCTCGGAGGCCCCTGGGATGGTGGTGGCCTCCCCCATGAATGCGCTACACAGCAGCTGGGCCCGGCAGCCCCCCTTCAAGCCCGATCTGTCTTACCATGAGTCCTTCCTGGGCCTACAGGGCTCCACCTTGGTACTAAACCCACCCCTCTTCTCTTCCTCACCACTCCCTTTGAATAATTGATTTATTCGTCTTGTGGTTGTGGTTTTAACCATTTCCAGCCATGTGCTTTATGATTTTGTGTACTTTATTTCTTTGCATTTTTAGGCACGAAACACTTAAACCTGTTATTCAAATCCCCCTTGTCATTCTTTATCTGATCTCAAGATGAATTTAAAGTTGGCTTGACTGAAAAGAAAAAAAATCACTTTATACATGCTGATATTTGTGGGTTTTTTTTTTTGTCATATATAGATATACATAGATAGTTATAGATAGATAGATAGATAGATAGATAAAGAAAGATAGATAGATATAGATATAGATAGATAGATATACATACACACATACACACACACACACACACACGCATACATATACCAGGGTTGGGGCCATTCCGGAATGCATTTGTCAGTTCTGGTCCAAATCAGGAAACTAGAGTTGGAATTAAAATTTCACTGAAATTTGAATTCAGTTCCAATTCTGTTCCCGCATAGTGTTTTTTCCCGCTCCAACTCGAGTTCCATTTCCTGATTTGGACTGGAATTGATGAGTGCATCCTGGAATGGCCCCAACCCTGACATATGCGCACGTGCACTAACACACACACACACACACTCACTCTATAAATATATTTGATCATCTTTTATTTGGAGGCTAAATCATGGCCAGACTGACTCAGACTGGTTTAATCGGACAGTGGTTTAAAGTGCAAGGTGTGGGTTTGAAACTGGTTTAACTGTCATATTAGTCAAATTGCTTTAATGGGTAGATTCCTTAATAAATTGTTTTGCTGGGTGGGTCACATTTTCTGCCTTTGACTTATCCTTCTGACATTATTGATAGAGTGAAGAATTAAAGAATTTAAGTTGGCTGGAAATGGTTAAGATGCATTTTTTTTTGTTTTTTCTTTTGTTTTTTTTTTTTGGTGTTGTGTCTTTGTCTTGGACACTGAATTATTGCAGCAAAGCAGGGCGATGACTCGCCACGTGAGTCAGATTTTCCCGGGGACCTGCTGTAAATGCGTTGGGGGGGGGGGGGGG